TAATATATCTTTATTAATAATATATTACTTAAGATTTTAATCTAATTATCTTTATTACTTTACTTAACTTTATCTTATTTAATTTATAATTATATAAATAATATTTATAATACTAATAGTAGTAGTAATAAAATAAAACTAAAATTTTTTAAAATATTTATAAAGTTAGCTATATTTAATAATAAATAGCTTTATATATACTTATTATATTAACTAACTTTAATTAGTATATTATAGATCTCTTACTTAATAGATTAATATAATATTAAGGTATTAATATATTAAGATAACCTTAACTTACTTAAAACTAATATTATAGAGTTTTTAACTAATATTATTATTATCTTTCTTAGTAATCTAATATATATTCTTATATAAATATCTCTTTCTAACTCTTAATAGTTTAAATAAAGTTTAAAGTAAGATATTATATTAGAGAAGGTATTAAACTACTCTTTATAGTAAGTATTATTATTTATAAAGGATTTAATTAAGTTTTTAATATCTTTAATAAAATATTAAGTAAAACTCTATTTAGTAAACTAAATATCTAATAACTTATAAATTACTTATAAGCTACTATCTATTAATTATAGTTTCTATAGCTTCTTTTTAAACTTTTTATTAATATTATATTACTTATTATAAATAGATATAAACTACTTAATAAAGCTAACTACTTAATTTAAAGCTTTTTAAAGTAAATTTAGTATTATTAGTAAAAATAAATAAATTAAAAATATAATATTTAGTTAATAAGTACTTAGAATATTTAATAATAGAAGAGTTAGTAATAAATACTATAAAATATTTATATATAGCTAATATAGTAGTAATAATACTATTAGTAGTAATAGCTATATATATAAGTTAAGATATTAAAGATAATAATTTAATACTTTTATATTACTATATATATTAATAATAGTGTTATTATTAGTATTAGTTAAGCTAGATTTTAACTTTAATAATAAAAGTATAATATTTTTAGCTTTCTCTTCTATTATTATTATTATTTATTAATTATTATTAACTTTAATAATATTCTTATTTTTCTTATTTTAATATTTTTAATCTTCTATAAATTAGTTATAAAGAATCTTATTAAGTAGTTTTTTAAGTAGTTCTATATTATTAATACTAGCTTATTTAGTTATAATAGCTTTTACTTATTTCTCTATATAGTAAGATTTAATTTTATAGTACTTTTAGCTTAATATATAATATTAGTTAAACTTCTTATTATTTAAACTATTTTTATATCTCTAATACTTTAAGTAGATATATATATAGAGAAGTTATTTATATATTCCCTCCTTCTAATACTTAACGTTTATAAGATTATTAGCTTTATAATTAATTACCTCTTATATATTAGCTAAAATACTTATTTAGTTACTTTTTTAAGGTGTTTATATATTAGTTATTATACTACTAGAGATTAGTATAATATTATATTATTACTTAATAGTAAAGTAGACTTTACCTCTCTCTTTAGTTTATTTAAGAGAGGGGATAATATTAATTTATAGAATATTTAGCTAAGTAACCTTTTTAGTAAATAGATAAATTTAAGTAAAAATTAATATTAATTTAGATATATTAGTAAGTTTTTTTTAAGTAATAATAATAATAATATTAGCTTTCTTTATAATATATAAGTAAGCTATTTCTACTTTAAGTTAAGTACTACTATCTACCTCTTAGTTTTTACTATTTATATTTAATATAAGAGTAATATTAAATCTATTATATATAATACTCTTAATAATTAGATTAAGAATAAGTAAACTATTACTTTTAAGTATTAAGTTATAAATAACTTAGATTTATAATAGAGTTAGTTTTTTATTATTTATATTATCCTCCTTTTTAAATATATTATAGAATAATATAAATATATTATTAGCATTATAGTGAGGAGCTATAAGTATATTATCTATAAATTAAGTAGTTTAATAAAAGGTTAAGTTAACTAAAGTTAAGTTTAGTTAAAATAATAGTATTAATAAAAATAGAGTATTTTAAAGCTAGATTATATATAGTAGATCTTTTTTTTACTTCTTCTATATTATTATTATTTTTTAGTAAGAAGATACTTTTAAAGCTTTTTATAATAATAGAAAGGCTATAAATATATATTTTCTTTATAATATAAATTTAGCTACTATTAAATTATTAATCTTAAGTTTAATCTTAATAATAATAACTTCTTTAGTAGCCTCTTTAGTAGTAATAGCTTAATAAGCCTTCTTAGTAAGTATAATAATCCTAATTAATAGTAAAATAGAGCGTTAAAGAGGATCTCTAGTAGTATCTTATATTAGTTATTATATATATTATTATTTCTATATACTATTAGTAATAAGTAATAGATAATACTTAAAAGGGTTATTATCTACTTATTAAGCTATATAGTAGCGTTTAGGAGGTATTATAATACCTTTAGATAATGAGATTTAATAGAAATAGATTAATTAAAGCTATTAGAATAGGTTAATTATTATATTATAAATATCTATATAGCGTTAGGTAAATTTTTATGTATATATAGGGATTATGCGTGCGTAATTTTGGTAAAAAGGGGGGGTGGATGCTGTTAACGTAATGGAGTGTATAAAATTGCACCTGATTTTTGTGCTGCGTGAGAGCAGTAAGGAGGCAAGCCTGAGGGCCATCATCATTCGTTTCATCGTGCGTCAAGATGGATATCGCGCCTTTGTCCAAAAGAGAAATTATATAGTTTATGTCGCAATGACTACCTAACCCCTATCTCATCTATATCTTTTGCCGTCGTCTGCGGCGATCTTCAACTCGGTAGGGACTCAATCCATTCGCATAAGTCGACTGATCCTGCTTCGACTGCTGTCCTAGAGATAATTTTCGACTTTCGCGCAATGTGCATGCCGCGTCGCACCAATCTCCAAGTGTATGTGATATTTGATCCAAATTACCTCCTGCTCCGTCCCAGAAATCAATCCTGAGGTTGTCCACTTTCGTCGTTCGTGCTGCTTCCAAAATCGAACATGTCCTCCCAGTCGAAGGTGCCGTCTTCGTCGGAACGCATCGTGTCTTCTTCCTGCTTGACGGCATGATCAGAACATTGCGTCTGGCCCGTCTCTGCGCCACTCTGGTCGTCATCAAGGAGAGCCGGGTCCATGTATGGAGTCAAGTCCTGACTTAAGGCCGGATCAAACATTGGTGTGTTGAGAAGGGAGTTCTCCAGAGGGCTGGAGGTATTGTGCCAGCCGTCCTCGTTCATGTTGTCGAGGTATGGAGTCGTCCACGAGGACGTTGTCTCGTTGCTTGAAACTCCAATTTTCTGATTGGACAGCGAGGGCAGCGAGTTTGGAGACGATGCCAGTAAGGTCCCATTTGTATCCATGCCGGGGTACCAAGTCGCGTCTGGGTAGGGGTCAAAGTAGCCCATTTGGGGAGTCTGGAGGTATGAGGCGGAGATCGGGGCTGCGGTCACTGCTCCGGTGTATGGATGATACATTGGCAATGTTGAAAAGCTAGGCGCCGTAGACATGGCGAGGGAAGAGTTGCCTTGAGCCAGAAACTCTGTATCAATTTGGTTGAGTAAGCCGGTGAGAGGCGATACAGCTTGAGCGACGTTCTTGTTCATCTGCGTGGTCTCAGACACCTGGGTCTGGTACCAGGAGGAGTTGTGGGCGACGGCCGGATCGTAGTCGGGGTATGCGTACTGGAGATTTATGACCGGTGGCTCCATCTTCACACGCTTGGCGTCGACGGCGATTTCTTCTTGGAGAGATGCTCCATTCGCCTGCTCCTCAAAGTCATCAGAGTCTCCGCGCTTGCGCTTGGTGGCCGGCTTGCTTGAGCCATTGAGGTTGTACTGAGCCTTGTAGTGCTCCAGGACGGGTTGATAGCCGTAAGGATGGTCAGGATCCCAGATTGGCGCCCAGGCTGGGTCAGGCTGGGGTGGTGGCTGATGGCTGGATATGGCATTGTTCGTGACTCCCGTGGGCTGAGGATATGCTTCGTACCGAAGTGAAGATTGGGTTCGTATCGTTTGCTGGGGATTTCCGGTGAAGGCGCTGTCTTGGCAGTGAAGAGGAGCATGGCCAGTGGTAAAGTGCTGAGGACCGTGGTATTGAATTGGTCCTGGCAGAGTTGGGCAGGGTGAATGCGTGTTTGAAGAACCTTGGTTGACGGAGTTGTTGGGCCTCTTAATCACTATTCGGGTTTTCCTGTGACTCAGTCAGATAATGATACTGGCCCCTTGTGATTGATGACATACTGCTTTGGCGGCGGCGAAGGAGGTGCTGTCTTTCTGGCACCACCATTTGTGGGAAGAGCTCCATTGATCAACGCCGTGCTGTTTGTCGTTAGTAAAATACTTCACCAAAGTAGACAACAGGCTCATTGACACGCGCACACAAAAGGCGCATCACCCGCTTGTTGTCTCTTGAAGAGAAGCACTTACCCAAACTCAGGGTCATGACCGTACTTGCCCTTCACATATCGAAGCTGTGAAGCAGTGAGAGGCTTGTTGAAGCGCTGGCGGTACTGTCTCAAAATCTCATCGCGCTTCTCGTTTTCAAGAGACAAGCGCAGAATGAAGAGAATCTGCTCCTCAGTGTATGTAATCTGACCTACCATGGTTGAAGCTTGTGGTTGTTGGTTTTGAGAATGTGAAGGATGTGGTGGCAAAGAGTGTGGTGATTAATTGGAAGATTGATTGAATGTCTGTTTGTGAACGTGAGCGAGAGTAAAATTGTTGAAAAGAACGCCGAAGTTTGTGATAAGTGAAGGTGGTGGAGGTGGAGATATCCCACGAAGGAAAGGACCACGCTGTCGTTCCTGCAGTTTGTGCTGTGATTCAGTTGGAGTTAGCAAAGCTGGGGAAGCTAGACAGCTCAGCTGACAGAGTGTTGGGGAACGGAAGGAAACTAGACTGGTAATTGCATCTATTTCATCCGACTTCTCGTCTATTGCTGGAAAGCTTCTGTCTATCGTGTAGTCTAGATCTAGGTCTACTTCTTAGTACCCCCGCCTCTTTATGTCTATGTTTCTACTGTGTGGTATGCAAACAATCAAATACATCGCTCGCTTCAACAAATGCTTGCCGTCTACGCCAGCGACTGACGCGCAAAAACACCCCACCAACAGTTTACCGGAGAGCCCTCGTCGGCTTCGCCCCAATCGTCCTGCCCGTCAAGAGTTCCTTCCTCGATGCAGGCAAGCGGGCGTGTTTGGTTCTTCATCGCGTCTCTGAAGTTCTGCAAAAGTCTTTTGGTTGTCTCATCTCTCAACGGAACCATGACGACTGCACGAGCATCCTCTTCAAGGGAAAGTTGCTCTGAAAAAGCACCGGCCAAGAGGCCTGGATGGATGTCGTCGTAGAGCGGATCGGCGGCAAGGACGACCTGTGATATCAGTCAGTCATTGTTAAAGACGCCCGGTGGGATCACCAACCTTGAACTGATTCTTCTTCTCGAAGAGATCTTGGTCGACTTCGTCCTCCCCTGAGCCTCCCCATGTAAGAGCCCCCGCATCGAGCGACCCTCCGAGCTTCTCTACAGTCGCACGGTTGGCTTCGACATTGAACCGCAGGTTTTCCATGATATCGGGCAAGTCGCTCAAGATGACGTGGACCTTCCATAAGGCAGCTGCCGCCAGACCGAGAAGCCCAGTACCGGATCCCAGCTCCAACACGGGCGGGCGAGGCTGGCCAAGTGACTCATCAAAAAGACGGAACAGAGACGTAGGTCCAAGACTAGGTAGGTACTGAGCAAGCACATAGGACGAGCCCCAAGTCTTGAGACCGAGTGAGTCGCCAGTCAGGGGCGGTTCCCGAATAATGAGTTCAAACGTTGGAGTGCGAGCATCCTCTCTGAAGGGCCACCGCCTGGTAATCTCGCCCATTGCTATTTCTTGTCAGAAATTAATTCAGCATGTAGTCTCCCTTACGTACCTGTTCGTCCACAACGCTCCGTCATCCTTTTGCTGGCTTCCGTCCAAATCGCCTCCTTCTCATCGTCATCCTCGATCCATGCAAGTCCGCTCTTGATGATGGAGGAGAGGTACATTGATACCTCACGCCGAAAGTAGGCCGTGGCTTCCTGCTCGTGAACGATATCCGATCGCTTGCGCTTGTGACTCCATATCGGGGGGCAGAGTTCCAGCTGCTTCAAGGTGGTGAGTAAGTCTTCACTTGATGGCTTCTGCCACATTTGAGGGAAATCCTTGGGCTCGAGTGACATGTTGGCGGTTGAATCAAGGTTCTATTAGGGGCTCTCTATTTTATGTTTTCTAAAACACCAAGGGACTCTGATAATGAAGAAGAAGTGGTTGCCGAACAAAGAAAAGGCGCAAGGTGCTCCCGAAAGTTTATGGGAAGGGGGGTTCAGCCACTGGAAAAATTCGCTGGCGGTCTGGACTTTCCGCTAAGGTACCCAAGGGACCCCATCGCCAAAAGCACCCGACACACTGAGACCAACCAACGTTAATGCCGACAGGGACCCTTATCGTTATCGGATGCGCCTGGCCCATCAAACGTGGGGTTCAGATCACTGATCTGGCAGGTGGGGACCCACGTCCCCAAGGGTCTTTCCCTCGCAAGGTTCGTTCCTGCCGCCATTGTTGATTGGTTGGCCTCACATGCAAGGCTGCAGTGGAGTCACAGATCAACCGACCCCACGTCACAGTATAAAATAGGCTGCAATTTCTGCGGCGCTTCCAACTTCTCTCCTCTTTTCCTCTCTTCAAGCACCGTCCTCTTCAACGCTGCGTTTCTATGCTACGAACAGAGAGTTTGTGCGCAAGCACGATCTCTCGAGAAGCTCGTCTTTTCAGAATGGCATATGAGAAATTCGGAGTAACATCTTCACTACCACCCAATGTCTCCTGCCCTGTGTGGGATGACGGGTCTGCCCGCGAGGGTCTGGCGTGACTTCACGCTTGCAATTGGCATCAGAAAAGCAGGGCCCGCAGCCGTCCTCGTGTATACCCTTCGGGGGAAGACGGGGTTCTGGACTCGGTGACCCTTTGGGAGAGTCATTGCGAAGATTGTGCACAGCACTTGAGTGCGATACGCAGCGTCTGGGATCCCGACTGGCTTCGGCTGGGCGGGGGACTTGACAATTCAATTCCGATCATTCTGTTGAGGACGGTGCTTCACTTTTTCTTTTTCAGGTAAGCTGCTCTCTGCTCTCTCCAACGCCCAAGTTCCAAGGATACTACTAACAATCCAAATGCACCCTCATCTCTTAGCTTCACTCATCAACATCAACGACCATATTACCACGTCTCCGAGCGCTCAACAGGGGACGAATCTTTCGTCGGCTGCCACTGCGCATCCTTGTTGTCGGCCTGCTCATTGATGGTATCCTCCTCTTGGGCATGCTCCCTGTTGTCGTCACCATCGCCACCATCCGCCGTTGCTTCTGGTGTCAGTTGTGGTTGACGTTGTTACTCGTCGGTGGGCTCACCTGGGCCAGCTACGGTAGGTAGGTCGAGGTCTCTCCATAGGTGTGCGTTGGATTTGGTGAGATTGCGTGCCCAGATGAACTTCTCGATAGCCTTGCTGCAGGCCTCATGATCCTCGTCGGCATCTCTAGCGAACTCCAAAGCTTCCTCGACAGCGTAGATGACGCCGTTGATGTGACTCTTGATGACTGTATCCTGATCCTGCGAGGTGGCCGTGGGTGGAAACTCGTAGCAAGTGGCGTTTCTCAGACTCGTCAAGCCATGCTTGACCTGTGCTCTCACGCTCCTAAAGCTGGGCGCCTTCTCCCGCTTGCCTGCGGCCTTTCTCTCATCCTCCTCCTTTCGCGCGTTCGTCTGCAGCATGTCGGCCCACATATCCCCCAGTGTGCCCTTCTGCACGAATTCTCTCACGTCGGGAGTGATCTTGTTGTCGAAGTCGTCATGTGCCTTCTTGTACATCCAGTGAGCCGCACTGAGTTGATCGTGAAGATGCTCCAGCGAGAACCTGGCCCCCAACAGCCACTCCTCACGCGCTGCATTGTCGTGGGTGGACGCAGCCTTGACCAAGTCCTTGCTGGCGGTGCTCTTCTCGCTCTTGGCGCTGCGACGACTGCCCTCGCGGCTGCTCCTGTCCTTGCGATCCCGCTCAGGGCTGTCGTTGCCCTGCTGGCCTCGCCGAGAACGTCTGGCTTCCTCGCTCGACCTCGGGGATACTGGAGGCGAGCGTCCATTGTTGGCGTTGGAGACGGTGGGTGCGGCGAAGGCGTAGACGAAGCCGTTCCGGGGCAGCGGCACGGGCAGCGAGGACTGGAGGGCGTCGAAGTGGAACGCGTCCTGTGTCATGCGACCGTACTCGTCCATGTAGACTGGTCGGCTGTGATGCGGGATGAAGCGTTCTCGTGACATTGCGCTGGCTGCTTGGGAGAAGACTTGAAGCGATTTCGAAGACGGCGACGATGTTGCCTTGGATGATCAGAGTTACGGCTTCTGGATTCTGGTTGGGACTTTGGTGGCATTGTGCCGGCGTGGGTCGTATATATCTGGGGTCGGCTGTGGCAGCTAGCTGTCTTGCCATCGCAGTGAAGCTCCTTGAACCTTTGTGGTGAATGTTGTGGCAGAAGCCTGCCATGCGATGCCGTCCCCAAGCATCATCTCCCACAAAGCTGCATAGACATATATGCCTGCATACAAAGGAAGCCGCACAAAACCGATGCGCCGGCACAAGACATGCATTTCCATCCGGACTCAAGCATATTCATTCTACATTCATTCTACAGAGTCCAAAAACTCTTTTGCCAGATCAACTCTGAGAGCAAACAAGCCCCAAGTTTGTCCCACTTTACACCAAACGCACCCATCGCTCGCTGGCTTCCAACAGAGGAGGTAGCAACCTCTTCCAACAAGAGATCTTGCAAACCCGAACCCCAATCTCTCAAATGGTATCTCCAGGAATTTTAGAAGGAATAATGTGACTCTTGACGAAAGCATCTACCAATGGTCCCGTCCGCGGGTATCCGCGCCACCCAGAGGGCGGGCAGGGTGACACTGACCCAAGTGGCAATCCGGGCTCAACCGCGCCATCATCCCGGGGGTTGGCCCAAAGCTTAAAAAACGACAACCACACTACGGCGGCCCGGAAGGCGCGGCGGCAGCGGGGAAAAAGAAGGCCAAGCTAAGGGACGCGCGAGCCGCGGGCGCGGGCGGGTGGACGGGCGGGCGGCCCCTCCTGCTTCTCAATATGCCCCCCTGCTCGTTATTACGGTCTTCCCGTGCCACCCCTCCCTTCGTTTGCCAACATCCAACATCCAGCATTCCGTCGCGCATGTTCTGGAAGAAAACGAAGGGAACACCCCCCGATAGAGCCAATCCATTTCCTCCTCCACAACAATTAAGTTTGGGGGAAAGGAAACCTCGGATGTGATCGACTACAGAGGGAGTACGAAGACGATACATTCAAGAATGTTGCCACCGAAATTCATCATGTTCGGCGGCGGGCGGCGGCGCGGCTTGGACCAGAAGCTTTCAGCGGCGCAGCGCACGCACCGCCGCCCTCTTTTTATGCGTCGTGCCACCTCGGCTTACATACAATCCTTCCGTCAGCTTGTACGAGAGCCTCGTGTGATGTGTGTATGTGTTTCTCTCCAAGGCTCTAAGACGGGGATAGGAAAAAAGAAATCTTGCCTGCTGAACACGGACTTGCGGGGTGCCGAAAGGGGTAAGAAGGAAGCAGGAAACACATAACACACACGCATCACATGTCTTCAACGGTCAACCCCGAACGACCTAGTTTACAGGTAAGACAAGCTAGGCAGATGGAATACCAAAAAAAAAAAAAAAAAAAAAAAAAAAAACAACCAATCCTTCGAGGCGAATCGATCGCCCGACACAAAATACGAGCGATGGAAAATAGGGGCCCGTCACGAAACAGAGAGACAGACAGAGGGCGCCCCGTCTTATTGCCGTTGAAATCAACTTTAATGAGCCAAAACACGAAATCCCTCCCGTAAATATTGCGGGGAGCTCTGGTGGATTCCCATCCCATCCCGCGGCGCCCCCTTTCCGTTCTGTACGTATCCGTAGTGCAGAGAAAGAAAGGGAAACCAGCAGAGACCCAGTAATTCGCAGTAGCAGAAATTTTGGGGACCTTGATTTTTCGCGAACCTTATGTGGGGAAAAGCGAAATGATCGACGTCACAAACTGCAGCATCGACAACAACAACAAGCACAAGGAAGGACGGAGGGGATGGGGATGGATGCTTCCCCTTCTCTACTGTTGTTCGGATTCATTACTTCCTGGGATATACGTCCCACCTGCATATGAAATGCAAGCTGCAGCTGTGGATATGGCCAAAGGACGCTGCAGCGCACGGCTGTTTGCATCGCTGCAGAGCGGGAATGACGTTGACAATTTGCATAAAAAAGCGGCAAAGATCAGCTAGACGCCGTTGCACAACATGGGCTGTCACATGGGGGAACAAAGGACATGTTCATCATGAGGATATCATTTTCGATTTTTGATTTTCTGTGTGGGTGGCTACCTCGTGGTATCAAAGAAAATGAAGGGGAGGGAAAAAATAGTAAACCTCCCCCGGAAACCAAGAGACGATGTCAAAATACTGGCCCGTATCCACGGTGTTCCAGCTCGGTTTTTTTGTCCATGCAATCCTATATGCTGGTCGCCAATGCCGCCTGACCTTTGATGCAAATGCCATCCAGTCCAAATAATATGAAAAGAGAAAGGGAAAGAAAGAATCATTCGCTGTTGCTGATGCTGGTCTCATGTGGCCGTCCTATCCAGGATCTGGCGAGATATCCCCGTGAATTAACGCTTGAGGGGAAAAAAGAAAATCAATCAAAAAAGCCGCCGCAAATCAAGTTTGCCTTTTCGCCTCATCCCTCTTCGCTGATCTCGTCAACACGTTCCTCTTGAGCTGTCGGGGCTGTCCGTTCTCAGGCGCCTTCTAGGCGACCGCGATGGGAGGCGGGCACTCCCTGTAGATCTCCGTCTTCATGACCTTCAGTCGTTCGCGCATGTCGAGCAGGTCCGCCATCTTGTCCTCAGGCGGGTGTGACATGTCGGCAATTTCCCAGTGCAGAGCCTCATACTTTTCATAGAACAGCTTGAAACGCTGGGCCTTGCTGACCAGGTCGGGGCTAAGTCCGCGTTGGCGCTTGGGGGCGGCCTTGGCCCGGGCGCTGTCGATGGAGGAGTCGGAAGATTCCATGGCCTTGCGCTTCTTGGGTGCTGACTGTTCGAAGTCTGAAGCATTCGTAG